TTGGAAATCAATGGGAAGAATGTCCCTTACTTGGGGGTCCAGTGGGAAGAATTGTCCCTTTACATGGGTAGATTCAGTGGAGAATTGAATGTCCTTACTTGGTGATCAGAGGGAAGAATGGCCTTACATTGGGGGTCACAGTGGGATGAATGTCCCTTACATTGGTGATCAGTGGGAAGAATGTCCCTTACATTGGGGGTCAAGTGGGAAGAAATGTCCCCTTTAACATTGGTGTCAGTGGGAAGAATGTCCCTTACACTGGGGTCAGTGGAAGAATGTGTCCCTTACATTGGAGGTCAACTGGGAAGAATGTTTCCCTTACTATTGGTGCATCATGTGGGTTAAGAAATTTCCCTTACTATTGGGGTCAGTGGGAAGAATGTCCCTTACAATGGGGTCAGTGGGAAGAAATGTCCCTTACAACTGGGGTCAGTGGGAAGAATGTCCCTTACATTGGGGGTCAGTGGGAAGAATGTCCCTTACATTGGGTGATCAGTGGGAAGAATGTCCCTTACATTGGGGTCAGTGTGGGAAGAATGTCCCTTACATTGGGGGTCAGTGGGAAGAATTCTCCCTTACATTGGGGGTCAGTGGGAAGAATGTCCCTTACATTGGGGGTCAGTGGGAAGAATGCTCCTTACATTGGGGGTCAGTGGGAAGAATGTCCCTTACAGTTGGGGTCAGTGGAAGAATGCTTCCCTTACATTGGGGGTCAGTGGGAAGAATGTCCCTTACATTGGGGGTCAGTGGAAGAATGTCCCATACATTGGGGGTCAGATTGGGAGAATGCTCCTTACATTGGGTCAGTGCGTGGAAGAATGTCCCTTACATTGGGGTCAGTTGGGAAGAATGCTCTTACACTTGGGGTCAGAGTTGGGGAAGAATGTCCCACATTGGTAGGTCAGTGGGAAGAATGCTCCTTACATTGGGGGTCAGTGGGAAGAATGTCCCTTACATTGGGGGGTCAGTGGGAAGAATGCTTCTTACCCTCGTCATCTTTGGTTTCATTAGTATCCTAAGGCAGAAATTGCTGATTGTTGGATCCTCGTAAAGCAGACGACTCTGGAGAAACCTGGTTAGAAAGCCTGATCTTTTTTGATAATATTCTATTACATTCTGTTGTCTGTTGAGAGTGTTTATAATAACATGACTCCTTTGATTGGTCATTCTGCAGTTTTAATAGACACAATCAACATTCAGTATTGTTGAGTTTCCTGATTTATAGTAACTATTTATATCGGTGGAGCACTTATCCTCCAGAATGGTGTTGCTCTGTATCCACCTAGTGGCCAGGATACGTCATTTCACACTGTTTGTGAGTCGGTTTTTTCCCTCTCCCCCCCTCTACTACCTACCTCTCTCTCTCCCTCCTTTCCCCTCCTTTCTCTCTTTTCCTTCTCCCCTGTCTCCCCATTTCACTCTCCCCCAATTCTCTCTTCATTTCTGTCCTTTCCCTCTCCCCCTTCTCGCCTCCCCCTTCCCTCTCCCTCACTTTCTTCCTCTTTCCCCCGTCGTCTCCTTCTTTCCTCTCTCCTGTCTCTCTTTTTCCGTTCTCCCGTCTCTACTCTCTTCTCTCCCCCTCCCAGTTCTCTCTCTCTCCCTCTCCCCTTCTCCCCCCCCCAATCTCTCTCTCTACCTCTCTCTCCCCTCTCTGTCTTTTCTCTCCCCTCCCTTCCCACTTCCCCGCTATCCCCTCTCTTTCCCCCCCTTTCCCCTCTCACTGCTATCCCCTCTCTCCCCCCTTTCCCCTCTCACTCTCCCCCCTCTGTCTCTTCTCTCTCTCTCCTTTCTCCATCTCTCTCTCTCTCCCCCTCTCTTCTCCCCTTTCTCTCAACTCTTCCCCCCCCCCTCTCTCTCTATCTCTGCTTTTCTCTCTCCCCACTTTTTCCCCTCTACCCCCCCCTCCAATTCCTCTCCCCCTCCCTATCTCCTCCAATTCCTCTCTCCCCCTCTCTATCTCCACCAATTCCCCTCTCCCCCTCCCTATCTCCTCCAATTCCTCTCTCCCCCTCCCTCTCTCCTCCAATTTCCTCTCTCATCCCCCTCCCTATCTCCACCACTTCTCCCTCCCCCTCCCTATCTCCTCCAATTCCCCTCTCCCCCCCTCCCTTCTCTCCTCCAATTCCCGGGGTCTCCCCCTCCCTATCTCCTTCCAATTCCTCTCTCCCCCTCCCTCTCTCCCCTTCCCCTTCCCCCTCCCTCTCTCCTCCAATTCCCCCCTCTCCCCCTCCCTATCTCCTCCAATTCCTCTCAATCCCCCTCCCTCTCTCCTCCAATTCCCCTCCCCCCTCCCCGCTCCCTCTCTCCTCCAATTCCTCTCTCCCCCTCCCTCTCTCCTCCAATTCCCCCTCCCCCCCTCCCTATCTCCTCCAATTCCTCTCTCCCCCTCCCTCTCTCCTCAATTCCCCTCTCCCCTCCCTATCTCCTCCAATTCCTCTTTCCCCCCTCCCTCTCTCCTCCAATTCCCTCTCCCCCTCCCTATCTCCTCCAATTCCTCTCTCCCCCTCTCCCTCTATCTCCCCCAATTCCTCTCTCCCCCTCCCTCTCTCCCCCAATTCAGAGCTCTCTCCCCCCTCCCTCTCTCCCCCATTTCCTCTCTCCCCCTCCCTATCTCCTCCAATGCCTCTCTCCCCCTCCTCTCTCTCCCCCAATTCCCCTCTCCCCCTCCCTATCTCCTCCAATTCCCTCTCTCCCCCTCCCTCTCTCCCCCAATTCCCCTCTCCCCCTCCTTATCTCCTCCAATTCCTCTCTCCCCCTCCCCTCTCGCCCCCCAATTCCTCTCTCCCCCTCTCTCTCTCTCCCCCAATTCCTCTCTCCCCCCCTCCCTCTCTCCCTCCCAATTCCTCTCTCCCCCTCCCTATCTCCTCCAATGCCTCTCTCCCCCTCCCTATCTCCTCCAATTCCCCTCTTCTCTTCTCCTGAAGTCTGGGATGAGAGCGAGAGTCTCTGGAAGTGAGTGTCCCTCACTGATGAGGACTTGGGGCACTGTAGCAGGAAGCGGCAATCCTCATCCTCCAGGACCCCCTGGACACCCCCTTGCTGGCACAGTCTACTCTCCCTGGGCTTGTAGGTCTGTCTGTGTCGTCCTAATTCGATTTCCAGGCTGTGGGTGCTCAGTCTGTACCGCTCAGGGTCTGCCTGTCTCTGGGGTCTTGTAGCACCTCCAGTATGGGGACAGTTTGTAGTCTCTCTGCAGTGATTGGTAAACAGTTTCTAGGAGTTTATTTCTCCATTCTCTGACATACTTTCCTTTGGAATCATTCATTACTTCTTTTATTTGAGGTTTGGTCAGACCGCATTGCTGGGTGTTTGGGATGGACAAGGCGCTAATGAGTTGTTGCAACATCGATCAGACGGGAGATAGAGAGATACAAAGTAACATTGTTTATAAACATCGATCAGACGGGAGATAGAGAGATACAAAGTAACATTGTTTATAAACATCGATCAGACGGGAGATAGAGAGATACAAAGTAACATTGTTTATAAACGTCGATCAGACGGGAGATGGAGAGATACAATAAAACATTGTTTATAAACATCGATCAGACGGGAGATAGAGAGATACAAAGTAACATTGTTTATAAAACATCGATCAGACGGGAGATGGAGATATACAAAGTAACATTGTTTATAAACATCGATCAGACGGGAGATGGAGAGATACAAAGTAACATTGTTTATAAACATCGATCAGACGGGAGATAGAGACATACAAGTAACATTGTTTATAAACATCGATCAGACGGGAGATAGAGAGATACAAAGTAACATTGTTTATAAACATCGATCAGACAGAAGATAGAGATACAAAGTAACATTGTTTATAAACATCGATCATACGGGAGATAGAGAGATACAAAGTAACATTGTTTAAAAACATCGATCATACGGGAGATAGAGAGATACAAAGTAACATTGTTTATAAACATCGATCAGACGGGAGATGGAGAGATACAAAGTAACATTGTTTATAAACATCGATCAGATGGAGGATAGAGAGATACAAAGTAACATTGGTTATAAACATCGATCAGACGGGAGATGGAGAGATACAAAGTAACATTGTTTATAAACATTGATCAATCTCCCATCTGATCCATGTTTATAAACAATGTTACTTTGTATCTCTCTATCTCCCGTCTGATCGATGTTTATAAACAATGTTACTTTGTATCTCTCCATCTCCCGTCTGATCGATGTTTATAAACAATGTTACTTTGTATCTCTCCATCTCCCGTCTGATCGATGTTTATAAACAATGTTACTTGTATCTCTCCATCTCCCCGTCTGATCAATGTTTATAAACAATGTTACTTTGTATCTCTCCCGTCTGATCGATTTTATAAACAATGGACTTTTGTACTGATGGGAGTTAGAGAGATACAAAGTAACATTGTTTATAAACCTCAATCAGACGGGAGTTAGAGAGATACAAAGTAACATTGTTTATAAACATCGATCAGACGGGAGATAGAGAGATACAAAGTAACATTGTTTATAAACATCGATCAGACGGGAGATAGAGATACAAAGTAACATTGTTTATAAACATCGATCAGACGGGGGAGATAGAGATACAAAGTAACATTGTTTTATAAACATCGATCAGATGGGAGATAGAGATACAAAGTAACATTGTTTATAAACATCGATCAGACGGGAGATAGAGAGATACAAAGTAACATTGTTTATAAACATCGATCAGACGGGAGATAGAGAGATACAAAGTAACATTGTTTATAAACAATCGATCAGACGGGAGTTAGAGAGATACAAAGAACATTGTTTATAAACATCGATCAGACGGGAGATAGAGAATACAAAGTAACATTGTTTATAAACATCGATCAGATGGGAGATAGAGAGATACAAAGTAACATTGTTTATAAACATCGATCAATGGGAGATATAGAGAGATACAAAAGTAACATTGTTTATACAAACATCGATCAGATGGAGATAGAGATACAAAGTAACATTGTTTATAAACATCGATCAACGGGAGATAGAGAGATACAAAAGTAACATTGTTTATAAACATCGATCAGACGGGAGATAGAGAGATACAAAGTAACATCGTTTATAAACATCGATCAGACGGGGGATGGAGAGATACAAAGTAACATTGTTTATAAACATCGATCAGACGGGAGATAGAGATACAAAGTAACATTGTTTTATAAACATCGATCAGATGGGAGATAGAGATACAAAGTAACATTGTTTATAAACATCGATCAGACGGGAGATAGAGATACAAAGTAACATTGTTTATAAAACATCGATCAGATGGGAGATAGAGATACAAAGTAACATTGTTTATAAACATCGATCAGATGGGAGATAGAGATACAAAGTAACATTGTTTATAAACATCGATCAGATGGGAGATAGAGATACAAAGTAACATGGATACGTTTGTATCTATCCGGTTTCGTTTATCTGCAGATCAAAGAGATAAGCTTCAATTTGCACATGATGTCAGTTAATTAAAAAAAAGTTTTTTCTTTGTTCCTACTAAATATCTTATCACAGGCATGTGCACAGGTGTGGCGGCTGTACCTGGGCACACCCTAATCACCACCCCCCACACGCAGAGGGCTTTTTCTCAGCTGGAACATGCCAGAACAGGACCCTTACCCGCTGCTCCCTACTGTCACTTACACACCATGAAGCTCGGCTTCTGTATGTACAAATGACAAGCTCCATGAGCGGTGCTTTGGGGGTTGCAGGGGTCGCAAAAGGTGACCCCGCCCATGCTCAAAGGGGCTCATGCAGCCTCCCGGTCACATTACCCCAATCTCACTACTGACCAGGGGCAGACTGACCATTTGGAAACATGGGCACTGCCCGAGGGCCCGGGGTCCGTAGGGGGCCTCATGAGATGCCCCTGGTACCTTTTTCATAGGCTTTTTTGAGTTTGGGCAAGGACACAGGGGCCCCATGATCCCCTATTGCCCGGGGGCCCCGTGAGTTGTCAGTCCGCCCCTGCTACTGACTCACATGTGGAACAACCTCTTTAACATTACAGAGACTACT